CTGATTCCTGCTGTGGAGTTGGATAGCTTGATGTGGCATTACAGAGATCCCAAGGGAAATGTACAAGGACCATTTTCCTTGATTTCTCTAAAACGGTGGAGTGATGCTGGTTACTTTTCCCAAGATTTTATGGTCTGGAAGTTAGGTCATAGTCAGGATGAAGGTGTATTACTGGTTAATGTACTAGCCCAATTTTTCCCCATTTGATCAAATTGCTTATGATACATTGTAAAATACAGGTCAATAATTTTGTTGTGATTCTAAGGCAACTGTCAATCTACATCTTGTAATTGTAACTAGAAATTCATGCTCAAAAATTGAAATTTTCCCCCCTTCCCCCTTCGCTTGTCAACCTCTTTACCTTGCCAAGATAAATCGGTATCATCGGATCCTTCATGCACGATGCATCTGAGTTCTGAATGTTAGATTATTTAGACAATGTGGAGAGATGTTGCAATGCTCCTGGCCAGGCTATGATTATCCAAGCGGGTGATCTTTCAGGCTATAGAGAAAATTTCAGCTAGTATGGGGTTACTCCGTGATCTCAATTTTAAATTTTGGATATGCATGGTCGTTAAATATTTGAAGTGAGAGATTTATTGTCTATAGTAATTCTACTCAATTCGAGTAGAATTGACTTTCCGTGTAAGATATTTGTTATTTATATAAAAAGAAGAAAAAAAATATCAACTTGGCAAGGGGGTTGTGCAATAGACATACCAATATGTAAATTTACAATTGTTTTCGACCCTACTTTAGAATCATTGCACCCTCGTTGAGCGGTTGATTCAAGTTGATATTGTTGAGTACCTGAAAAGGGATTATGCGACTTAGTAGGGTTACTTCTTCGTTTGGAAAAAATCATATTCTTGAGATGAACAAGTTCATCTCTTGTAGAAGCTTAATATCCAAGCTACGAAGTTTCCCAATAAATTTAGTCAATTTAGAGATCGGGACATTGAGCAGGCCTCAATGTAGTTGTGTGAGTTGTACATGTTTTACTAGGAGTGAGAAAGGGTGGCAGAATATTGGGTCAGCATTATCCAGACATACTTTCTTGAGAAAGGGTGGCAGAATAAGTTTAATTTCATCAGTAGTTTTTCATCAATAATAATCACTTATTTGTGTTTTGTTTTATAAAATGCAATTATGCAATAAAAGTTTAAATGATTTTTAGTTTGAGTTACAGCCAATGATCCATTAGGTTAATATCGTGCACAAGTCAAATAAGATGAAACCATATTATTTATTTAGTTTTTGTTTTTCCCTTTTGATATTGATGATAACACCGACCAAATAGTTAACAAACGGGAAACAAAAAAACAATCACGGGGGGAGTAGAGTGTGTGAGTTGGTTGAGTAGAATATGAGTGTCGTAAATTTCGTGATACTCATATTTGATTCCTATACATAAAAAAAAACCAAAAAAAAAAATCAATGAAAATCTTTAAGAGAGAGGGTGTTTGCAATATTTTACTTAAAAATAAATTTTATATATATATATATATATATATATGTATATATACATGTGAATGTAAAATATTAATATTAATATATTAAATTAGTTTACTGTATTTTACGATGATTATTTTTAAAATTCATACTAAATATTTGTTTAGTTGACATGACACTATAAAACTCGTTAAAAGTACATCTCTATTAAATTTTTTAGTGATCTTTATCTTAGGGTCTGTTTAAATAGATTTTTTATAGAAATATTTTTAGTGGAGAAAAATAAGAAGAAAAATTGGAATACAATTTTTCATAAGTTGAAACTAGTTTATACAAGAAATAAAAAATAGGACTTTGAAAGAGTTAATTGAATAGAACTCTTACAAATTAGTTTATGCATCAATTAATTTTAATTTACAGAGAAATTTATTTTATTTTCTCTTCTAAAAATATTTATGAAGAAGTTTATTTAAATAAACCTTTAATATATCTATTTTCTACTTTTTACATCTTAAATGACTCTCATTATTTTTACAATACTTTTTTTTTGTAACATAAATGTGTTGTTCCTGTGTTAGGATACACACTTCACTTATCCTTGTTGTAGCGAGTCTGATCCTGGGTCTCGGTCTTCTCGTTCCTATCCGGGTAGTCCAATGTGAGGGGGGGTGTGCCTGCAAAGACACTCCAACGCTCAAGTAAGTGTTCGGCGTAATAAATGTGGTAGTTGAAAGTTAGTTACGTACCTCGCTAGGGTCCTATTTATAGTGATTTTTATTGGGCCGCGATTAAGGACTGGGTCCCGGGAAATTAGGGGGCTAATTCGGTGCATTACATGAATTAATCTCTCTATAATTATCCTGGCGTAAATCCGTGACTTGGCCGAGCACACCGACACGTTCCGTTCAGATTGTGAGTGGTCGGTGGGCTCGGGTATTCGACCTGGTCGTCCACGAACTCGGGTATTCGGCCTAGTCGGCCAAGAACTCGGGTATTCGGCCTAGTCGGCCATGAACTCGGGTATTCGGCCTAGTCGGCCACGAACTCGGGTATTCGGCCTAGTCAGCCACCATACGGTATACAACCCCCGCAGCGTCGAGGATGGGAAAGACGAAGACGTTTTAATTGTATAGGGTTGTGGTTCTCGGCGTGGAGTGGCAGATGTTGCTTCCGACCGCTAGTAGTAGTGTGCATGTTCCTAGCGTAGTCGGTTTTGCTAACCTCGGTGGTCGTGGCCGGTTCGAATTTCCTTGTGCCAAACGTCCTCCCTAATTGCTAAGCATGTTATGATGAGTTCGGTTGTCTCCAAGGAGAGGTTGCAGGGGCGACTTAAGGAGGCTGAGGTGACGTTGAAGGAGGCATTGACCACCAATGCAAAGGTCACGGAGTCGGCCGAAGAACTGAAGAGGGCAGCCAACGCCCATAGGAGAGAGGCCGACGACTTGAAGTTGACGGTCCAGAAAATGAAAGCCGAGGCCACCGCTGTAGCTGCCGAGATTCTCAGCTAAATGAGGCTGCTACCAAGTTCAAAGCCGAGGCCACCGAGAAAATTCTCGACCAGCACGATGCCGGCTTCCAACATGCTATGCGACAGGCCTTCTACTTTTGTGAGGTCCCGACTGACTTCAATTTTGATGTTAGTCGGGATTTCTACGGTGGAAAGTTCATAAGTTATGTCGAGTTCCCTCAGGGTGCCCAGCCTGACGAAGAGGCCCCACCGGCAAGGGAGGAGGAGCCGATCATTGATGTGGTCGGCGATGGGAATCCGGAGGACTCGGCCACGGTGTAAGAGGTTGACTCTCGTGGTAGTAGATTAGGGTTAGGATTTTTCGCTTGCTTGTAATCAGGCCATTAGTGCCTTTTGTGATCGGCCATTGGCGTCGTGGACAAAGATGATTTTTTGTGTAAGTAGTCGTACTGATTGGCCATACTTTAATGGAATATTTTACTTTCCAATTTTTTGTCATATTCATTAATGCCTAGTAATATAAACACAACCGAATGGTATGCTCGGCCGAAGGGGGGTTAAATTCATGTTTGTCTCGGATTAATGCTTGGTGTGAGTTCGGCTCAGGAGTGCTCCGCCTAGGCGTGCTCGGCCTCAAAATGCTAGAGTACGTGCGAGTGCTCGGCTTGAGAGTGTTCGGCCGAAGTATGCTCGGCCTCGGAGTCGGATCATGCGATTTGATACGCGGAAGTGTATTTGATCCGCGAGAGTGCTCGTCTTGAGAGTGTTCGGCCGAAGCGTGCTCGGCCTCGGAGTCGGATCATGCGATTTGATACGCGAAGTGTATTTGATCCGCGAGAGTGCTCGTCTTGAGAGTGTTCGACCGAAGCGTGCTCGGCCTCGGAGTCGGGTCATGCGATTTGATACGCGAAGTGTATTTGATCCGCGAGAGTGCTCAGCTTGAGAGTGTTCGGCCAAAGCGTGCTCGGCCACAAAATCGAATCACGCGATTTGATACGCGGTGTATTTAATCCGCGAGAGTGCTCAGCTTGAGCGTGTTCGGCCTAAGTGTGATCGGCCCCGGAATGTTGGGTCACGCGATTTGATGCGCGAAGTGTGTTGGAGCACGCGAGAGTGCTCGGGTTGAGAGTGTTCGGCCGATGCGTGCTCGGCCTCGGAGTTGGGTCACGATTTGATGCGCGAAGTGTGTTGGAGCACGCGAGAGTGCTCGTCTTGAGAGTGTTCGGCCAAAGCGTGCTCAGCCTCGTAGTCAGATCATGCAATTTGATACGCGCAGTGTATTTGATCCGCGAGAGTGCTCGGCTCGAGCGTGTTCGGTCGAAGCGTGCTCGGCCTCAGAGTCGGATCATGCGATTTGATACGCGAAGTGTATTTGATCCGCGAGAGTGCTCGTCTTGAGAGTGTTCGGCAGAAGCGTGCTCGGCCTCGGAGTTGGATCATGCGATTTGATGCGCGAAGTGTGTTGGAGCACGCGAGAGTGCTCGTCTTGAGAGTGTTCGGCCGAAGCATGCTCGGCCTCGGCGCGTGTCGTAATGCTCAGCCTAGGTACATCCTTAGCCGAGGAGGGTACTCAGGAAGGAAATCTGTCTGGCACGAGTGCGGTTTGAGTGGTCGACCGAGGGTTCTCAGCGTAAACGCGTGTCGTAGTGCTCGGTCTAGGTACATCCTTAGCTGAGGAGGGTACTCGGGAGGGAAACTTGTCGGGCTCGAATGTATGTTTTGAGTGATCGGCCGAGGATTGCTCGGCGTCGGTGCATGTTCGTGCGTAGTGCTCGGCCTAGGTACATCCTTAGCCGAGGAGGGTACTCAGGAAGGAAATCTGTCTGGCGCGAGTGCGGTTTGAGTGGTCGGCCGAGGGTTCTCAGCGTAAGCGCGTGTCGTAGTGCTCGGCCTAGGTACATCCTTAGCCGAGGAGGGTACTCGGGAGGGAAACCTGTCGGGCTCGAGCGCACTTTTTGAGTGATTAGCCGAGGATTGCTCGGCGTCGACGTGTGCGTTATTCGAGATTGGACCTGCATGAGTGCAACCTAAACGTATATATATATATTAAAATAAGGAACGGCATGACAAATATTTAAAAATGTCTTGTATACATTGTGTAACGTGGTCCTCTCGGGGGACGAGCATTTGAGGGCTCGGCATTCGCCTTTCTCATCGGGTCTCGACCCGGTTCTTTTCGTCCATATCCCTCCTCGGCTCTGGCCTGATTTCTAGTCTCCGCCAATTCTTCCATTTGCATGTACTTCTCGGCTCGGCGTCGGAGATCGTTCATATCACCGGGCGGTTTCTTACACAAGCTATTCACAAATGGCCCCGGCCTGAGGGCAGTGCTCAGCCGATCCATTACCACGGCTGGGTTAAGGTCGCCGATCTCCATGGCGATCTTGTTGAATCGGTCCATGAAGCTTCTCAAACTTTCCTTCTTCTCCTGA